CACCCTGGGCTACAAAGTGAGTTCAAGGCCACCCTGAACTGCATAGCGAGACCCTGTCTCAAGAAGACAAAGGCCAAGGGTGTAGCTTAGTACAAAGACCCTGGATTCAACCATCAAATACCACAAAAAATATGTATATATATTTTGAGAACCAAACCCCAGTTTGTGTGTTATATATATTAGAAATTAAAATCAAGAAATTTTATAAATACTACTAACTTTTAAAAGTAATGATAATCCATTTAATGTTAACATAAGTAGCATATTTTATGAAAAATGACTTTTTCCAAAGAAAAGTTAGTGCTAGGAGTAGGCCCTCTGCTTCTGCATTCTGTCTGTTGCAGTATCACACATCATGCAGATTCTGGAAAGTTCCTCTGTGCACCTGTGAGAGAGTGAAGTAACAAAGGCAAATAATATCCTAGTAGTGGTTTGAAAGTAATTTTGATTCCATGGCCTGCAGACCATTTGGGAATCATTGGTCTAGCCAATCCTTAATGCCCAATGGTTGTTACTGTTTTACATCGAAATCTTTATAACTAGTGAATACTAATATTAGTGATGTATAGGCCAAAGCTTCAGAGACTTCCTATTATGTACTTTCCTGAAGGGTTCCAAATAAAAATACACTTCAGATGAAGCAAAAGAAACAATAGTGTCTTCCTAATAAATAGTAGTATTACATAAAAGAATTCTTTGGGTTAAAAGCCTCAAATCTTGCTTTCGGGAATTTGTAATATGTTTGTGAATACATTACTATAAAACTCTCATTTATTTTTTTCCAGAGACAGTACCACCACCCCCCCCAGTAATAGAGCTTAGTAGAGAAAATACTAATTAGATATTTACTCTGAAACCACAGACAGAATTGGTGTAGGGCTCTGATAGCCCATCTATTCTATGGAGGAAGTGTGGTCCTTTGTTAATCAGCTCGGGCTTCAGGGCTGACGGGTCAGTCTTCATACACCTATTGAAGAGCCTTAACCTAAAACATATATTACTGTGGAATTCTTAGATACAAGATCATCTAAAGGGGATTTGAGAAGTGCATTGGGGCTGTAAAGTCCAAAAGCACAAGCAGTATGATATAACTTGCGCTAGTCATCTTAACAAAAATATATCTCATATAGTTCACAACTCAGTAAAATATAGTTTATATTAGCTATACATGTACTCTGCAAATGTATGACCTCCAATTAGATCACTTTTCTTTCCTTTTTCTTTTGCTGGGGGGCGTAGACCATGGGGAACTCATACGCGGGGCAACTGAAGTCTGCTCGATTTGAGGAAGCTCTCCACAACTCCATAGAAGCCTCTCTCAGATGCAGTAGTGTGGTTCCACGGCCAGTTTTTTCGCAGCTCTACTTGGACCCTGACCAGCATCCTTTTCCATCTGCAGGTAAGTTCCTCATTCCCACACACACCTCTAGACTTCTTAAAACAATTTTTTTTAAAAATGTTTAAGAGCAGAATATATTTATTGAGGGAAAGAAAGCTTCTGTCTGAGAGAGGGACGAGGGACAGAAGGGAACCCGAGTGGGTTGCCCTCTTCTAGACTTTTTAAAAGGAGTGGGTCCAGGTATGGCAGTGTGTGCCTATAATCCCAGTTACTTGGGAGGCTGAAGCAGGAGGGCTGCAAATTTGAGATCATCTTGGGCAACCTAGACAGTATCTTTAAAAATAGAAAAGGCTAGGGGTACAGCTCAGTGGTAGAGCCCCCATGGGTTCAGTACCCAGTACCGCCAAAACAAAAACAAAAACAAAAAAAACAGAATTCCAAATCTTGGGAGCACTGAAATAAACTGGCTAAGTATTCAAAAATACTGATCTCCTTTTCTTCAAATATATCTTTCAGCTGGGTGTGGTGGCGCGCGCCCGTAAGTCCCAGCTACTTGGGAGGCTGAGGTGGGAGGATCACTTGAGTCCAGGAGTTCTGGGCTGTGGTGCACTATGCAGATTGGGTCCATACTAAGTTCAGCATCACTATGGTGACCTCCTGGGAGCGGGGGACCACCAGGTTGCCTAAGGAGGGGTGAACCGGCCGAGGTCAGAAACGGAGCAGGTCAAAACTCCGGTGCTGATCAAATATATCTTTCAGAACTATGAATTTTCCTTACGATTTTTCCATAAGCATCTTGTTATTGAATTCTGTGTTTACTCAGATGTCAAACCCAAAGTGGAAGATCTGGATAAAGATTTGGTACACCGCTACACGCAAAATGACAGCTTGGACTTTTCTAACAATCTGACAGTTAATGAAATGGAAGACGATGATGATGAAGAAGAAATGTCCGATTCCAACAGCCCACCAATTCCCTATTCACAGAAACCTGCCCCAGAAGGCTCTTGCACTACAGACGGTGGGTTTTGGTTTCACTTTCTTCTCGCTGTTTCCCCTCCCGTATTGTCTAGTCCGTGTCCAGGCATTCCGTGTGGTGTTCCAGGGTGGACACCAGGAATTACGGAAAGGAATAAGGAGTGCTTATGTCCTGACTCCCATCTTGTTCTATGACTTCACAGCAGGTTTCTACAAGAAAGAAAAGTGCTCTGGCCCCATCTTACAGATGGCAAGACTGAGATTCACAGTTGAAGACTCCTCTGAAAGGGTCTCTGCAAATGCAAGTCCAGACACAGGCCAGGGTTTCTCCAGCACTCTGCATACTGTCAGCAAGAGTGCTGCTGTCTTAGGAACTTCTTTAGCATTCTTTCTTCTTCCTCTTTCTCCTTCACCTCCTAAATATAATAGAGATATGAGGTGACTTATATTTTACCTTTTACATTTATTTTGAACACTCGCCAGTGTAGACACAAAGAAATAGAAATCTTTTGTAAATGTAACAATTTCTATAGAGGATAAAAATATAAATAGCTGGAAATCTCATTTTATTTATTTGTGTCAACCACCTCTTCCACCAAGGTTTTAACCAAATATTTTTAATAAGAAAAGCTTGGTCCCTCACAGTTTTTTAGTATTTCATAGTTCTGATTCCACCTTAAATTCCACTTTCTTCCCTTGATTTTGCTGCTGTTTCCCGACCATCAGACTAATTAGTGCGTGGATTTCACTTTATCCACGTTGGCCAGAGTGTAATGTTTCCACCCAGACTGAGGGACCTGGGATGTTGGAAGTGAATGAAAATTTTGATTAGGAAAGAAAAGAGACGATGATGCGCAATGAAAACACAGACACCTGTTGTTTAACAACCAAGTTAGGGTCCCATGATGGGTTGTTCATGAACCGGTTGCTAAATGAGGAATTGTGTAGAATATGTTCGTTATAATATTCAGAACAAAGAAATGGTCAAAGGCAACTTCAGTTTGATGACTTCGCTTTTATTTGCATAATTCTTAACATGCAGTACTGTAATGTGTAACAAAACAGGAAGCTACAGTACTTTATAGTACAATCAGCAAGAATTATAAACAAGGTATATTACACAAAAAAAGATACCTTGAGGCTCCATAAACAAGAGGTACAGAACTGAACCCCAAAAAATAAAAAGATTAAAAGTCTGAGTGGCAGATCATACATATGCCTGAATAGTGCACCTCTGTCCTAAGTCCGAACAGTCATTAAACAGGCAGGTCCTTAAACAAGTAACGTCTGGATTAGATATCACATTATCAAAATAGTTCAATGCAAATGATTTGTTTTCCTAAGAACACATGGCCTCCAACAGCCTTTAAAGGAAAATACAGCAGCCGCCATCCAGTCATCACATCAGCTGGGTTCAGGCGATACTGATCCCTCCCAGGTCAGAAA